TATCACGGTAGCGCTTGCCAGTGACAGTAAGAGAATCACCTGCAGCTGCTCCAAAGGAGTAAGATCCAATAACACCTCCACACCAAATATCGCACCAAACCTCTACGAGGATGTAGTGGTGCCCAGATTTGTAGGACGCCCTTATGGCCTCCTTGATTTTCATAGTTTTCTACTGTTCCGTGTCAGCCCTTCAGTTTTAAGTTATGTCACAAATATCTGTTTGCATCAAATTGTTCATCTTCGTTTAAAAAGAAAACATAAACTCACAATAGGAGAGAGCTGACTCTGATACGGAACAGGTGTAACCTAGAAATACCCCGGCCTTTCTGAAAAAGAGGAAAGACTATGAAAATCAAGGAGGCCGTAAAAGCGTTTCACAATTGTAGGAACGACTGACGATACGGCCCTCTAGCGACAATCACTGCCTTGTAAACATGTAGGTGATGTCCACACTTGACACTTGTGGAATATACATAACCTATACATTTATTTAAGGTGAAAATTAGTATTTGTGGATTTGTTGCTATGGATTCAATGTTTGGACTATTAAAATGCCTTTGTGTTGTAGTGTTGTGATGCGCAACAGTAATGCAATAATTCGGGATGATTTATATGAAGGTTTGTTGGAAACAAGCATAAAAGAAGTCAATAATATCAAAAAAGGTTCAAATGTACAAAATGGACGACGACATCACGAAACACCACCGAAACAAAAAAATGTAAGGTTCACTCACATCAGAAGTACGTGACGCCATATAGACATAATCTACAGGCTTGGCCCCTAACCTATTCGAATTCATTGATTATGACCGATAAATTAAAAATGACACCATCCTAGGCCTAATCTCGTCTGCGTACAAATTCAACCCGTTAATTTCTTACATTATCTTCAGATAAATTGTTTTGCTTCATTGTTCTATACACGAGACCCCATTTACACTGAATCCCTCAAAGTGAATGCTATAATAGAAATATCGCATGTTTCCTTCCAAAATTTCAATCTACCGTGACATTTTTCCAGATATTTATAATATTGTTATCCTAATCGATCCCGTTTCACTTTCTACCCTATTGCCCTTTTGCACCTAGTCCCTCATCATTCCACCATCCCTCACAACGGCACCGCAAGGCATTTTGCGTGGACTGTCTTGGGACAGCCCTTGGCCCCTATCTGCAGTTCATCCCTTGAGAATCTTCAGGGATAAGCCTTTGTTCTCCGTAATTAGGAGACACACAACTGAAGGAGGTAACCACGTGTGATATGGGCTTGAAAATACAGTCACTTGTCTTTTGCCCGAGACGAAAGGTTGAGACAAAGAAGGGACCACTTTGCAAATAGCCAATTAACTGCAGAGTGACGTCATCGTTTGTTAGAGCGAGTCTTTTGTCGTCTCGACTCACGTGTTGAAATTTGCTTCTTGATGACGTGCTAATACGACGGGCACGCTGTATATTTTGAGATGCGCATTAACTATACTAGTTAAGACCGGCAACAGTCCACTATTAGAAAAGCAGTCCTTTATTAGTAAGTCGCCGCATTCACTTCATTTGCAAGCGACTTACAGTGCACGTGGTGTAAACAAATTTAAGGCGGAACATGGAGCTGTCTCGAGAGAGTTATCGCGCTTAAAGCCGGTTAAACTGAAAATCAATGAATCGAACGGTTACAAGAGGCATTTGGTAATGAAGCTCCATCCCGGGCAAGTGTGCTTTGCTGGTATGCCGAATCTATCTGTTTCATTGGCTGATGAAGAGCGTCATGTTCTAGTGTGACTCCAGAAAAGATTGCTAAAGTTCAGCGGCTAATTGAAGAACATATGCGACTATAGAGGCAACTCTGTGGTATCCGCAACAGTGCACACCATTTGCATGATCATCTTGATTCAACAAAAGTTGTTGCAGAGTGCCCAACTAACTGAAGACTTTTTACACCAGCGCCACATCAAAATGATAGAACATCCGCCTTATTTGCCAGATTTGGCAACGTGTGACTTCTGGCTCTTCAACATTTTGAAAAAAAATCTGCGTGGTCGAGAATTTTCGTCCGAAGAGCAAATTGATCAAGCAGTTAATCAGTTTTTTGAAGGCATCCCAAAGACTGACTGGCTAGAAGCATTTCATTTGTGGAAGGTCCGGTTAAAGAAGTGCATTGATGCTGGAGGAGAATACTAAACTAGTTTTTGAAAAATAGTTTTTAGTTTTCGTGTATCTCAAAATATATAGCGTGACCCTCGTATACTAGGATATATTTATGTGAACAGTTCGCTGTGGCTAAAATCTTCCACTACGTTGTGTTGAAATGTTAAGAAAGAAATTGTTTTTTTTTTACTTCCCACGCCTACGGATTGTAATCGCGCAATGTTTCGAAAATGAGATATGTTTTTTAGATGTTATATGTCATGACATCCGTCTGTCTGTCTGCTTATCCTAAAACAGTCTATAACTTGAGAAGTATCTCTCGGATTTTGCTAAAATTTTCACACAATGTCACAACTATGCCAAGGACAAAAACAGTCCGATCGCGGCGGAGAAAAAGGCCAAACATGGTAACAATAACAAACGCTCAAACTGTCTTTTCAGATTATTACTTTTGAAAAAAAAATTACAAGTAAAAAATGGGTGTGGTGGTTTTAGAGAGGTGGGGAGAGTATATCCCAATTTTTATGCTATTATATCTTTACGCGCCCATCCTTCTATGTACCTATTAGACACCTGAAGTGTATAAGTCATATTATTTGTCTACCTTCCGCAACAAAATTAAACTGTTTATAAATTCACTATTCACTTAATCTTATCATTTCTATGCTTCATGATGTATTGTAATTCTTGATTTAAGCATTTTCAGTGTCTTGCTTTTGTCTGTTTTTTTTTTCTTCAAGATAGGACATAAACTTCTGTTACCAATCGCTAACTGATTGGTTAAGAGTAAGAGTAACGCATGCTAAGCCAATCAGTTAGTGTATTTCCAAATAAACACGAATTTTATTATTATTACCATAATTATTATTATCATTATATTTCACACATCATAGATTTTCTTTAAATATCTACAGCAGACAAATCCCGTACCTACCGGTTGCGCCTGCGTCTGCTACTGACGGCATGCCGCCGGCATTGGCAAAGTATTACTGCTACACCACAGCATAGGAAACACTATGCTGTGGCCGCGCTGCACCGTCTGACCGGGTTAGCTATCGGGAAGAGGCGACGTTGCCAGATGGACTACCGATAGCGCTGGGAAAAAATATCCATGGACTAATTGTATGGACCTGTTTGACTGACTTCATTCTAAGAAGGTCTAGTTTGTTCATAAGGGATAATCTGATAAAGACGTTGCGGTAGAAGTGCAGAGTCGACCTACTTGAACCCGTTTTTATATCCAGAACTACTTTGAATAATATTTTTAATTAAATTGAATGAAGATGTAAAATGAAATATCTTAGTATTTAACGATATTGAATTGTAATGATGTTCTGCAAGCGTGAATTGTGATATATTTTCCTTAAAAAAACTGATACGCCAATGATGATTGGCAGCTACCATTCTGTCATTTTAATCAAAAGCGTTGCAACTGAGGATATAACAATAGGAGACGGTTCTTATGTGAAAATTATCAAGCTTCCTAGAAAAGGATATTCACTTTCTCAGTACCTATATCAGTAGCGTACCAATTTTTTTTAGAGGAAAATGTCACAAGATACGTCTGCTGGGACGCCACTGGTAGTGCAACAGTATACACTAAAATATGTCATTTTGTAAACTATTATAACAAGTCAAAAATAAAGATAATGACTAAAGAACTTCCGAACGTTTCTTGAAAATTCAATACTCGTTGTCGGCATATGTTCTTATAAACGTTTCTTCATAAAAAGTTTTGTTAAATCACATCCTGTAGTTGTAGCACATGATTAAATAGGAGGAGGAGGTATATTGACTGTTGAATTTATGTATCATAACAATGAAAAAATAAGTTGGATTTTATTATATACTGGTATGTATTACCCATGGAGCAAGAACGCAAGCTGTTTTCCCTTACATCGATTTATGGAAACCGCCTTTTTCTGAAGATATAGGGCGGACAAGATTTTTAAAAGAACTAGCAAAGATCACATGTTATATTTCTCATTCCACAATCTAATAAACCAAGGTCGTGTCCCGAATGACCCAAGAATATTCAGGTCTGGATACATATGGTCTGCTATATGTATAGCATTTTTTTAAAATCTCCGTACGTGTTTTCCAAACACTTATGAGTAACCACATTGAGGTTGCTTGATATAACCTAACACTACACAATACTACAGGGATGTTATGTAGAAAATCGATATAATGTCATTAAAAATCTGTATAATGTCAACTTCTAAGCTAAATAGTCGCTAGCCAATGTCGCGCCCACCCTCTGTGAGCGCCACCTATCAAGAATCAACGACCATGTTGCCTAAGATGCTGCAACTCGCATTTCACTAGCATGCTTTGTTAATTTATCCATCACTGTAAGCTGCAGTGTTTCCTTCCAGCCATAGTATAAAACTAACAACTTAGGCCATAGGAGCTATAAGTTGCTGAAATATCGCCATTTCTAAAGCAGATGTTACATCACATAAGATCCAAATCGTATAGCTCAAGTGTCATAACGTTTAGTCAACACGCGCAGCTACTACAACTGAATATGAACTGAATGACAGTTCCAAAGTGACATTTTGTCTCGGAAAACCTACCTAATGTGACTAAAAGTCGATATAATGTCACCGTTCAAGTTACGTATTATGGATGTCGGTATACATCTTTAAAAGAGTTCAGACACGTAGAAACTATAGTTTATATAGCTTATATTATTACAGTTTTCAGTCCATTGCTGTTAATACAGTTGACTCAGTCAATACAATTTCATACCATATACTAATTTTTCGCCGATCTAGTAGTAGAACATCGATACTCTACATCTGGGGATACCAATGTTCATAAGAACTTTTCTGCAGTAAAATCATTGCTACTCTCACCCCGCATAAGGAAAGCTTCCAGCCTTAAATCATTAGTGTAAGTATCCATTTTATGGCCTCTTATGACCTTTTTACAACCAGAAATTCCTATGTCTGCGTCCCTACCTACCTCTCTTCCTCCCACCCCTGGCAAAATTAAAGTTTTTGTAGGAAGCCACTTAGACTGGATCGTGCATTATTAATTTGTGTGGACCCCTTGGATTGGAGCTTTTTGTTGTACGCAGTGACGAAAATTTCCATGTAGGCATCGTAGAGTATCTAAAAAACTTGTTATCTGAAGAAAAAATTAACGATCACATTACATCCCCGCTTAAGCGTCAGAGGCAAATTTCCATACAAGTGGAGAAGAACATTGACCCGTTGTTTTAAACGAGGAAGTAGAATAACTATAATAATAATAATAATAATCTTTATTGCCATCTAAATTTAAGAGGAAAAACATAAGCAACGTCAATAACTAGTAGGAACTGCCAACTTTAGACGTCCGTTTTGAAGATTATCAAATAATTATATCAATGCAGTAAAATACTCCCTTTTCAAGAATTGACCCCCTAAATACGTTTTCTCTAGTCCTACCTACTACCTAGGTTCAGTGCAAAACTACACTAGTATCCACCATGGATATCACCTAAAACATTAACGGCCCAAGTACACTATCCTGAGGAACACCCAAATAAATATTTTGCTCAGGACCGTGATTCTGGATTTCCTATCGCCTGGAGCTGTCGGTAAAAGGCGGATATCTTTGGCATTGGAACAGTACCGAGTGACACCATTCATGACACGGATACACCTAGACCCATATCGTCACTTTGATACCGGATTAGTCCATTTATTAAAAACCGCCTTTTCATACCCCGCAAACTAGCGAGAACGCATTATAATCGCGAAAAAGATAATATGTTTTTTATGTGTTACCTAAAACCATGTGACTCAGTTCCATTGATCTGTCTGTCTGTCCGCTTACCCCTGGTCCTTCTATTACTTTGAAAATACTGCTCTTTTTTCCATTTGTGACACTAGATTACTACTATGTCAAGCTCATAGGTGTTTTTTAAAAATTGGTTCAGTGACTGCATATCAACAGGCAAACAGCGAAGAAATGGCTCAAACTTCGTTGTTTGAATCCTGCTATTTTTGGAAAAAATGTTGGAGGTTAAAGATGTGGGAGGCTGCAGGAGGTGAGGGAGGGCATATTTCAATCGTTTTATATGCTTCCAATCCCAGTGATTATTCTTACTTATTTAATATATCTCAAGCATAGATTTCCCCGAACATTTGTCCTTAAGGCAGTGATATAAATATTACCACGATACGCGATGACGTATTTTGTTGGCATCAAGTAGGAGTAACGAAGATGTAACGAAAATAGAAGACGAACCTTTTGAGCGCTCATACATCACAAAATTGTATGCAAGATGGAATTGGTATAGGTCAGTTTGACTGACTTGATCCATTTAGTTCCTTTTTTTCTGTCCTGCTAATAAAACAAGTCCAGGCGACAACATTGTTTTAGGCAGTTTTAAGCAACCTTTTACTAACTTTTCTTTAATTTGTTCCAGTTTTTCGGCAAGGTGACAAAGGAAAATGCTGGTATGCGGTGATGTCAGGCAGCGTCGAAGTGCGCGTCAGCAGATCCGACACAGCTGATCCAAAGGTATTAGTTAAACATAATTTCGTTGAAAATCGTGGATCAGACCAAATAATACATGTAGTTTGCACGTTTGATAGAGCCTTTGAGGTGTGCAGATGAACATACTGAAACTATGTGATGAATATTTTTACTGTGGGATCAATACTTGCAGGATATTAGTTGATAAAACTATATCTATAAAGTACATCGAAAATGATGAATTATTAATTCTACTGTCAAGACGACACCTCAAATGTCAAAATCTATCTGCCGTTTGGCCTGCAGCCCGTCAAATATAAATATCAAAGTTTTGAAATCTGTCATTTTAGTTTTATGAAATTTTGGTATACCCAGTGTCACCACAAAATCCATCAAGTTGGCGTGATTTAAATTTTCGGTTAAAATTGATTTTTTACGGATGCTGAAAAATGGCATATCTCTAGATCAGTTTGACACTTTATTTGTCAATGATATAGTTTTTTATGTCTCTTGAAAAATTCATATTGTGTGACACAGGAGGTTTTTGCAAGTTAATTGCCGCTATATATCTTACGAGCTTAGTTTCAGGAGGTCGCGAAGGTGTAGCTTTTCGATTGATTTATAGCGTGATTAAGCATCAACATGAAAAATTCAAAGGAAAACAGCGAGCCAGCGAAGCTCCTTAGGCTGATTAGTTTTCATCGTCGGCTTTGATAAAAATAAGTAATAGCGGACCAACATGCCTGAAGGAACAAGAAGCGCTGGTGTGTTTCAGTTAAATTCAAATTTAAATTATTATTATTAAAATCTAAAAAGGTGACTTGTAAAGGCAAAATAATAAACTGGGTCACAATCAATTAAAATACTGCTTTCGTCCGTCCGACCAACCATGTACAGCTGTTTCATGCTTATTGGCACTATCTCAGTACAATACCATGAAAGTCGTTTTAAAGCGTGAAGTTTTCTGATCTTTCCGTCGGAGCTAAAGGTCACTTTGTTGGCCCGATTTTTGAAATAACTAAGGTTGCTAGAACTAAAAAAAGGCTGCTCAGGCAGATTGTTCTACAATCTCCAAACCCTAGGCAGAAATGAGCGGTCTGACCGGCCAGTTATGGATGTACACAGTTCGACACGGATAGGACAGGAAAGCCAGATCGGTGACGGCTGTCCGGTGCGAAAGGGACCTGAAACTGTTCGTTAGAGAAGACTCATTAATCAGTCGGACAGCCCTCCTCTGCAGAGCATTGAACATGGATAATGAAGCCTGGTCGGCAGCATCCCAAACACGTGAGGTGTACTCGAGGCTAGGTCTTATCGCGGCCTCTTACAGAGTGAATAGGTTATGCGGAGAGAAGTGCTTCTACAAATAGCTAAGTTTTTTCCATGTTTGACGAGATGCGTTAGTGCCAGATCAAGTCCTCGTTGATCTGGCCTCCGACCAGTCAAACATTAAATTTAGCATAAATGTGAGTTCTAGTCATTCGAGCACCCTCCTGTTTCATGCACATCGATTTTCCACTACCCAAACAATAATTCGGTTAAATTGTCCCTGTTAGCGTTGAAACCCTATTCATTTGGTTTTTTTTGTGCTCTGCAATTCAAATAGATCGACCGGCCGCAATCAAATTTATTACAGAACTAATTTGCAATGAAAATCTGGAGAACACCTCTTTATTATTTCATTTTATTTTATCCGGCAGTAAGTTGTATTCGTTAAGCTTTGTGATGAAATTATTGAATGGTTATTAGAGGATGAACTAACAGAGTTAATAAGAATATTGTCATCTGAGAGCTTGATTATTTCATTGGTCAGTGGAAATTTAAGAAAAACTGATCCGAGATTTTATCATTTTTTACACCGGCGCAGCGGCGCAGGTAGAAGCCTAAATGACAGGGCCTCGCGGCTCCTATGAGAGCTTAAGGAAACCTTGTTAATTCTATTTTTGATCTGCCTAAGGTCAGTAAAACAAAGAGAGACAGGCAAAGGAGCGATCGTATCGGCCAGTTCTGGATGTGCCAAGTTCGACACCGTTAAGATGGGAGTTTGAAGTCGGGCGGGTCTGTCTGGCAGGTACATCGCGCGGCGGCATCATGGAGGATCCTTATAAATCCAGAATATCCTAATTATTTTTACTTTATTTTGAATTTATGAGTGTTTGCTGAATTAAGTTAATTGCCTGATCAAGAACGGATTTTATAAAATTATGAATTCACTACTACTGGAGTAAAATAGAGAACCGTTTAAGAAAGGCTGCCAACACTATTAGTAATATTACCTAAGACGAAACGTATTTTAGTAAACCAAATCTGCGTCAATAACGTCACATCTTCCCAGTTTTTCTTGAGTTTTATAGCTAAAAAATCTTTATAGTTGTCGCCGTGTTTCCCCAGTATATGAAATACGAGTGAAACTCTAAGGTATCCAATGGCCCCGCATGGTAGTCAGGCCGTTGTGCACATTGAAAAATCTGCGTTCTTTGTCCTCAAAACTTTCGTAAATCGAGTTGACTCCGCTAAAGCAAATTTTTGTGTCTATACTGTGATAGCACACGATAAAAAATAACCACCGTTTTATGACAGACGTCGTTTTTTTTACTCGTCATGTTTTGCTCTACTGTAATCAAGCTAAAAGGCAAGTCCAGATAAATTGCGGCTTATGCATAGTGCATGAAGCTTCTCTAACACACTCCGTATCTGCCGGACGCTACTCATTAGGTTTTCGTAATGTTGCATAGGATGCGAGTTTTTCAAACACTGCTACCGCACTGATTATACAATGTGTGTGAAAGCTCCCTTTTTGCTGGGACAATTCTGTGAATGCTGTATCATGTAACTGTCGAGGAAGTATTGCTGTCTAGAAAAGATTAGAAAATGAAATATTATGTTTTTCAGACATTATATGGCATATACATTACGAAAAACTATGTCACTCAATTCCGTCTGGCTGTCTGTCCGCTAATCATTGGCCAGTCAATAACTCTGATTTATATAAAATTTCCACATAAAGTTACAGTTTTAAAGGACGAAAGAGATTTGTAGTGACGGCGGAGTTGAGAGCTAAAAACGAAGAAACTAAAAATCGCTCAATGTTCATTTTGAGGTTTCAGAGGTACCTGATCATTACGAATACAAAAAATTTGAAAATTCTTAAAATGGAGGTTTGGGAGTCGTGGAGGAGGCTATTACTTATGTTTTTGACTGCAGTATACTTATACGCTCCCAACCCCAGTAATTTTTCGCACCTATTAGTCGTATTCCACACATCATGGATTGACCCGTACATTTACCCTAAAAACCTCAAGAATGATGCAGAAGTTGTTGCAGTTTCTTTTTATGGTCAACTAAAAATTAACTATATCCTGATAGTGAATCATTACAACGTCTTCCTTATTTAGAATAATAACTTTATAGCAGTTCTTAAAAATATCGAAGTTTATTTTTATAACAAAACACTTATCTTGGTTTAATAATTGTACGGTATAAAATCATACTCTACTCTCTCTCTCGTTAAAGGTCATTTTCTATAATTTCTTCGTAAATACGAGAACGGAAGGTGACTTGTGCTATTTCCCGTGCTCTCATGTAGGAATTCAGCGGCCCACTACCCGATTTTGCGACAAGTTTCACACGCAGTGCTGCGGCTGTATCGGGTCTTAGAGATTTTAATAGAAATCGGCCTCCATTAGTGAGTCTGTTGTCGGAGTCCTTTTTCTTAACCTCTTGAGGATTCAGCCGTAGACATAACTACACTCAACCACCAAGCTGGTGACCATTTTCTCCAAGCCACGTGTTCATTTCCTCAACATGATTTCTAATTCTGCAGTGATAATCCGATGCGAATTTAAGTAGGATTATGAGTTTTGTCATTTCTTTGAACGCTCATTGTTCGATGTAATTATGATTTTCTTTTTACTTTGCTAGGCCTTTCTTAAAGTCGTATAAATTGTAAGCAGAACCACTTCGTTCAAAAATTAAGCATAAAACTATCAGTAATTTTATTTGTGCCAGTTTAGGAGTTCTTTTGTAACATTAGGATTGTTTAACCATTTACTTATCCATTGTTTAGGTCAATGTTGAATTACAAAAGTTATTAATACATCAACTTATTTCGTAGTAAAAAGAGAGAAATGTTTTGGATTTCTCATTGGTAACATTTATATATTGTTCTGTATCATAGTACGTACACTGAGAATAATATAGTGTTACTTTTATATTGCTGTAGCTTCTGATTTTGGTTGCATATTTACTGAAATTTGAGTGAGCCATGCTCACGAATTAAAATATTACTGTTCTCAAATAACATTTTAATTGCTTTACTTATAAGCTGATGGAGGACATGGAATATTTTACCTCCGGGTCCTTATGTTTTTTACAGGTATCTCATGTTAAATTTAAAATTTTAATTCTTAGAAGCAAATTAAAAGGGGGGATTACTAGTCAAATCGTTCTTTCGGGTTATTGTTTTAACAAGTAATTTTTTTCTATTTAGGGTTCTATCTACCGGTTCTACCTTCGGGTATCGAGTTACATCTGGGACTTCCTGCCCTCGGTTGCCTTCCTGTGATAGCCAGGCACCTGCTAAAGTTTTTTTTTATTTTCTTTTTTTTAATGGAAACCATTCAGCTGTGGGGGATGGGGTAGTACAAAATAACTTTCTTTGCTTGCCCTCCAGGACTACTTTCAAATATTTTTCATCTCTTTTGGTCAATAAATGTTTGTCTACCACATCCATTGGCATCCAAAAACCAAAGTACAAAGAACCTCACTCTAAGGGCTCATTAAGTTTTCGCCGGATAACAAAGTATCTTCGACGCGCATCTCTTTCTGGGCTTACCAACATTACCGTATCCTCCATGAGTGTTGTTTCGTCACTGCCATGCTGCCGAGTCTGATGAGTAGATACGTCTAGCGTCAGGTATGGGGGAAGGAAGACGTTGGCACATGGACGGTACTATTGGCGCGGCAGTATATGGAGTAATCCTATGGGCCTGTTTGACTGGCGTGATTCGTTTGATTTCTGCTTTACATGCTCGTAGCTAACTTTT